GACAGTTTATTCCCAAGTCAGTGTTGGGGGAGAGGGACGGGCAGGGCTAGGAGGGTCTCAGAGCATTTCAAACAGGTGGAACCCATCCATCCCTCCCTATTCTCAAGGGCCACGCATGACTCCAGGGGTGGTTATAGGATTAACTACCAGTTCATTTTCAAAATGCTGCTTTGAACTCAGAGGGTTGATACTTTTAATTTGTAATTTTTTGTAAGACTTTTTACAAGATTAGTAAAGTATTTCACCAGAATACCAGTTTCAATCCGTCCGTGGTCTGATTTTTATATAATTTAGTGGTGCTTTAGAAACTTTGTTTTCGTTGTTTCTGAGCTCAACAGCTCAATCCTTTTCGCCTGTATCTACCTAAGACCAATGTGAACCTTTGTATTTTTGCTCCTAATTTTGGACTCAGTGAAAGTGTACTGTTTACATGTACAGACGCCCCAGTCCCTGTGTGTCCTGCAAGACTCGCCCTTGAGGAGGAAGATGCACCTCACTAAGCTCATCTGCTTAGCAAAGCCACAAAACAAAAACCTCTCACTTTTTACCCATTTCTACCTAAAATTTAAAAAAAAAAAAAACCTACACCACAGATTTGCTGGAAAACACTCCACCTGGTAGATGGCCCATGTGCCTCTATCGTGTGCCCACTTAGGAGCAGGGGTCAGGAGCAAGCCCTCCTACTGGTGGTGGTGGATCGCCGCACAGATGACAGGCAAACGCAGGTCTGCCCATTCTGGGATGAACATAGTTCTCCAGGCGGCCCGGCCATGGGAAGGTCAAGATGACTCGCATGGCCTTTGGGATCAAGCCAACCAGGATTTAGGCTCAACTCGTGAGGTCATCAAGCCTCTAGCATAATTTAGACCTGCTTTGGAAGCGTGTGAGTTCTGCATCTGAGAYTCTGGCTCTCAGTGCAGAGGGTACAAGCCTTTCTCCAGGGCTGCTCTGGAGACAGCTTGGTAGTGAGTCACCACACCTGGGGAGGGGCCAGGGCTCCAAGGCAGTTAAGCATATGGCACTTATGGCAAGCAGCAGATGGCACCAACTTTTAAAGGTGACTCTTTGTTAATCAATGGCTTCACCTCTAAATTATATTTTTACAGATATGCACCTATGCAACTTAACGTGGCTCTCCTAAGCAGGTGAGGACTTCCTCCTCAATGCTCTCTATAAAAAGTATTTGTGTTCTGTACAGTGAGTTTTTCCAGTAAATGTGGCTTAATATTTTAATTCTTAGAATGTGTCTTCTGCGTGATGCGACTAAATTCTGTTTTGTTTGTGGAATGACTAGCACAGGCCGACTCCTTCTCTCCCTCACTTAACAGAAGACCAATGAGCTGTTAATCGAGCTGTTATCTCCATGGTATTACTGCTAAATGCACTGATTTCATAAGTATGTGGAATCCTTTTCCTTTGGAATCTGTATATCATATATAAGACTGAATCTACTTAATAAACACTGAACAAACCGAGTGCTGAGCTTCCACTGTGTCCTACTGACGGCAGTATGGCCAACCAGCTCTCTTGTTCTTCAGGACTCAGTTTGAAAATAAAACAGGAAGATTTACCATTTTCTAACCAATAATCTGGCACACACACATTCAGTTCCTCAGGAAGCTTTGGAGCTTGGGACATGGCTCAGTAGTGAAGCACTCCATCCCCAGGATCCCTAGCACCACACACAATCCTTCCAAGTTTTGTTTTTTTGGCTCGACCACTGAGCCACACCCCCAGCCCCATTTTGTATTTTATTCAGAGACAGGGTCTCACTTGAGTTGCTAAGTGCTTCGCCATTGCTGAGACTGGCTTTGGATTCCCAAGCCTCCTGCCTCAGCCTCCCTAGTTTCTAGGATTACAGTTGTGTTCCACCCTGCTCAGCCCTAAATTTTGAAAAAACCTGTAGTCTCTCCTTTTGGCACCTTGCCTGTTAAAAAGGAAGTTTTCCGGGGGTGCTTCTCAGGTGCCCAGCACAGGTGGCAAGCCTTCTACTCACTGTTATTTAAATTTCAGTCACCTTATCCCACTCAGAGATGGAGCAGCGGAGAGGCACTGGGTGCTACTATGTGACTAAGTTCAGTCAGCAACCAAGCAAGGCCTTAACTGCAGCTGCCAGACTACAAAACAGACCTTTTCCCCTGCCCCCCTGGTGCGTGGCCAACCCACTGACACCAAAGTCTTATAGCAATTCCTAGGTGCTAATTTGGAAAACTGAGCAAATATCCTGGCTCTGAACCTTCTGTACTTGACATTCCACTCTCTGAATCCCGCCTTGAAGGAAACAAAAAGAYCACTTTTCCCAAAATTTATTTGTGCACAGACTTTGTTTTCATCGTACATGTGTCATTTAGGTTAAGCTTTAAGGAAAAATTGCAAGAATGTGGCTGGGAATAATCAGTTTATCATGGATTTAAAAAATTTTTGATGTACACACCTATATTGCCAGTTATTAAAACCTCTATTTTTAAATAATGGCATGAAAATCCTTTTTTTTTTAAATAGAAATTCTGTGCAATATCCAAATACATTGGACATCAAAGAAGGGTCAGTAGTTTGAAGGTGGCACTGAGAGTGTGCACCTGGGCTGATCCTCCACAGTCAGGAGATGGGCCTGACACCTCACCCTTCCTATGGGGTATCAAGGGACAGCAAATCCTCGGTGATGTCAAGAAATTTCCTTGTCCTGCTGAAACTATCAGAGCTGAGACTTAGGGACTGTTAAAGCCCACAACCTGGGACATCTAGTCCAGAACAGAGTGGCTTCACACATACCACTGGCCTCCTGGCCAGCCCATAACACTTACCCCACAGAAATGGTGCTGGTCCTGGAAGCATTGGTATGGCTGGAAGAAATCACTTGAGGACAGGAGAGTGCTGGCTTGTCCCAATCTGGCTTCATTACATGGAGCTCCAATGGGAAGTGTCCCCTTCTTGAGAGCAGTGAACTACCAGTCACCCACCAAAACAGGTACATCCCTGTACACCATGAGGGGAAGGGGAGAATATATATATGCTTTTTCTTTTCTATTTCGCGGTGCTGGGGATGGAACCCAGGGCCTGGTGCATGCTAGGCAAGCACTCTATCCCTTAGTCACAACCAGAGACATTTAAAAGGCTGTAAGGAACATTTAAAACGGAACAAGAGCCCAGTATGGTAGCATATGCTTATAATCCCAATGACTCATGAGGCTGAGGCAGGAGGATCACCCAGTTCTAACTTGCAACAACTTAGCAAGACCTTGTCCCAAAACAAAAAAAATAAAATTAAAATATTAAAAAAAAATTTAAAGGGGGGGGGACTGGGATTGGGGAGGTAACTCAGTGGTGAAGTGTCCCTGGGTTGAATCCCCAGTACCAAAAGTAAATAAATCATTAACAGGAAACCTGAAAGCAGAGTCCTGATCATGTCCTATCTCCCTCTATCGATCTTTAGCATAAAACCAGGTGGTATTAAGTATGTCACTCAAGGACTGTTACACAAGGAGGCCCCTCGGCCTGAGACCATGCACCATCTCCACTGAGAGCCCATGTGCAAGGAAGGCTCACCAATCAGACAAAGCAGCATGCACAGCAAGGGCACTGAGCTCAGTCAGATGCGGTCATCTGTCTCAGGTAGAGATGCACATTCCAGGCTTTCGAAATGAATGATACACAGAAGCAAGAGGAAGCAGAGGCTACTGTCCAATTTGAGTTTCAAGTAGTAATCTTCAAGGTCACAAACCCTTCCCTCTTCATGGCTTCAAAAAGCACACGGTCTTGAGGGCCTACTCCTCCTCCGGCAGGCCAATGGTTTGGTCCAGTGAGGCCCCACCAGACAAGCAGCTGTTCAGTACATGCCCCTCTACAAAAAGCTGGCTTTTACTTTCTCAGGGGCAAATGGGATATCAAATTGATGGTATCGTGCCAGGCCAGAAAGACATTCCGAATCATATGGTTTCCTTGTCCTTTCTACCTTTAAATAATACTCAGTCTTTAATCTCAGCACATTCAACTTACTGTAGCCAAGTATCAACTTCACAGCCCACACTCTCTCCCGGACATCCCATCAGCTCCTCTGGGGCAAAGATGAAAAAGGTGGCAGCAGCCATTCCGACTTCCCAGCGCTATGAACATCTTGGCTTGGCATGTGAACAGTCACTGAGTATTTACTAGGTGACAAGCACCAACAACCTGATTAAGGATGAAGTGAGTCTCCCTGTTCAGACAGCATGACTGCAGAGGTACTGTGTCCAAGCCCACAGAGCCAACACATAGCACAGCCTGTAACCACCCACCACACCATTTTGCTTCCCAGACAAGACGCAATTTGGCAATGTGCCAACCCCACCTGGACTTATAATGCATTCTAAGCTCCTGCACACAAATAGGCACAGTCACTAGAGTAATTTACCAGCACTGCAAAACAACTAGAACTAACCTTGGAGGTGTTCCACTTTGTGTAAAATTTATTTTCTCCAATTCACAGGGGGGAAAAAAAAGTAACTGGAGCTATCCTTAAGCTTTATTTCCACCTTTGCTTTTTCACTTTTGCTTATTTACAAGCCAAGCCTGTTTCTGATAAGCTCAAAAACAGGCACTTTGGAGTCCTCTGGAGAAGTCTGGGGACCTTAACTGAGAGGCCAACCCTGACCCACATCCACTCAGGCTCACTCAGCTGCAGCCCACCTGGCACCTACCTCATGTCACAGCAAGGTCAGAACTGGTCACCTGCCTGCAGACCACCAACCACTCAGATTAACTTGGCAACCTCCAATGCGGAGGCAGTCAGGATGAGCAACTGCAGAGGTCAGTCACGATTTATGGCTTTCGCTCACAGGAGAAAGCACTCTTCTCTCTCACAAGATTTCTGACTTCAGTCCATGGGTTTGGAAAAGTTCATCCAGTCACAGAGTCCAAAGACCAGTGAAGCAGGCAAGTCAGACTAACCTCACCAAGGAGTGGCACATGAGCCTGACCTTCCGGCACCAGCAGGCAGAGCAGAAGATGACTGAGACCACAAATGCAGGTTGTATAGGTTTATTTTTCCAATACCACAAGAGACATACAAGAGCAGTGCTTTTCTCTGGGCAGCCCTGTGGACCAGATCAGTATTAAACTGTACCCTTGAGTGGCCCCAAAGGTCCAAGAAGGAAAAAGACAGCTAGACACACTTGGGCCCCTGCTCCCGGTCTTTGGTAAACAATTTCTTGAGATGACAACTTGGACTTGACCAATACTGTATTTAAATCACATCATTGCCAACTTCTCACTCATGCTTCAGATGACAAAAATGCCACCTCAGATTAAATGGGGAGGAGGAGAGGATAAAACCCTTTTAGGTGAGATGAGCCTCGCCCAAGACACACAAATTTTATATTTCACACAGAAGCACTCGCACAGGGAGACACACCCACTAGAGAGGCAGACTCTGAACTCTGCAGCAAGTCAAGATACAAGAAAAAGGTGGAACAGGATGAGGGAAGACTAACGCAGTAGCATCTCCTCGCTGGAGACGTGTCGGGAGAGGCCGGCAGTAGGCATGGCTTTGTTTCTTCCCAAACCTGCTGTCAAAAAGTTAAGTCAAAAGGAGCCCGGTGGTCCCAGGTATTGCTGTGACAGGTGGTGACCCTGGAGCCAGATCCACAAGGCCTCCTGGGGGCTGCCCAGGGAACTCACCCATGAATCCAGAAGCACTTAACACTGGTGATAGTGATTTGTCACTTATGGCAGCGGATAGCCATCAAGGGCCGGAGGAGAAGAGATGTGGGAGCTGATGCATCTGCTCAGTGGTGTGCAAGCAGGCTGGCCCTGGCTCTGCAGGCTGTGGAGAACCCCAGTGACAAGTAACAAGTCACTGGGCCAACACGACATATCACAAGTCAGTCACTTCCCCCTCATGCCAGGTAGCACAGCCCTCAGTGGCTTTAACAATCGAGGTGGAAAAGCAAATGACACTGCTTTAATGCAATGATGCTRAAGATGTAAAATAGGAAAGAGACGTTGTGTTCTCTGTACAATACATCCATTTACAGAGTTGGCCAGTACTGTGTATAACATATAAATACAGGGTAAAACATCAGAGGTGCATAGAGCATACTTACAGAAGCCAAAGGTTCACTTTATACATCCAAGAATAAAGAGTTAAAAATATAAAAATAAGAAACACACACTGCTTAGAAATGTAAAATGACTTTCACATACACAGGTGTGTGGAAATGCCCACTCCCAGAGTCCAAGGTGACAGGGCAGGTGGCAAGCAGAGCAGCCACTTGTAGTCATCCTCAGAGCTGACTCACAGGGTCGACAGATGGCATTTTCATAGGAGACACCCTACCCCCCAATCCCACTGTCTAAGCAGGGCTGTGCAAGCTTTCAAAAAATCCGGTGGGCTCGTGGATCATACAGAGACAGGGAAGTTCTGAACTGGCTGCAGCATCAGAACCAAGGGTCAGCTGGCTCCGTCAACTGGCATCTATGACCGAACTGTAACCTGAGGTCAGCAGGTGCTTGATCGCCCTGGGGGGCAATGGGAGTTACTTCAACCCTATGAGGCTTCTTCCCAGACCATCAACTCCCCAAAGTAGCAGAAGGAAAGATGGCAGGGAGGGGGCAGTGGGAGACTTAGCATTCCTGCTCAGTTCTGATGGCGCATTCCCTTGGTAGAGAACACAATCTTCTTATTTCAAGTCCCTCTGGGCATCGGGCAGGGTCCCCTGCCACACCAGGCTCTGTCTGTGAGGGCTCAGGCTTGCCAGCCTTAGGCAGCCCCACAGGTTGCCCCCCAAGAAAGCCCCCTCTAGTAATACCAGAAGGGTTGACAAGTGACAAAGGGTTTTAGCACTATAAATCTTAGGGGGAGGCAAGAGTGCTCTTGCCTAGACAGACAGAGTCTATTATATCAATGATATTCTGTATACAGATTTAAGATCAATTATTATCAAAATACACACACTAAATATACAATTTTTCCAATGGCCATAATTTATTATCTCACCACAAGGCACAATACACAGAGCTTTGAGGGTCCAATACAGTCGTCGTGACAGAATGCACCACAGCCTTGGCACATGATCATGGCTTTCAGGCTGCAGGCACACTGGAGCGAGATGCTTTCCACCGTGCTGCTGTCGGTGAACATCTGCAGGGAGAGTGACGCACTGTGGCTTGCACCAAAGTTTGCTTTGTGGCTCAGCTGCACCACGCTTCCAGCCAGGCTCCTGTGAAAGGCCGGGGAGCTGGAGGAGTAATTAAAGCTGGTGGAACTCAGCTGGAATTTAGAAAGCTTCCCGTAAAAAGCCTGCTTGATGTTGAGTTGGGAGGGGATGGAAGAAGGCTCCAGGGGCTGAGCCAGCCCTTTCCCTGGCTCTTGGGGGAGTTTCCAGAAGGGTAGGTCCATGACAAAGGGCATCCCTTGCAAGTGACCCACCAATTCCAGAGGACTATGCCCAGCAGCTTTTCTGTTCTCTGAATTTGCACTGAGAGAACCCCCCAATAAAGTCTTTTCATTCTTGCTGCTGCCAACAGAGGCAAGAGGTGGCTTTGGACCCCAGTCTTCCCTTGCAGTTTGCACCCCATCAGACACAGAGTTTTTGCTTGGCCCCAATTTCCTACTGGGAAAAACTGGAGGGACCTCAGCAGGTAATGGCGTGGGGTCCTCAGGCCTGGGGCACTGAAGGGTTGCAGCCACATTTCTAGGGCTAAAGAGCTTCTTCCCTTGGCCTCCGGCATTGTTCTGACCACCCGGGGCCCTACCTGTCTGCTCTGGCCCGCAGGAGATCTCCTTTGGAGATGAGAAGCAAGGCGCTCTCGAGGTAGGGAGCTCTCCTGGACTCTTACCGGGAGCAGCATGTGAATCACTACACTCCCGCACTGCCTTCTGATCTTCAAAACTAAAGGAAGAAAACTGCTCTTTGGAATCCATTTCTTCCAGTTTCCCAGAGGAGATCATCAGCTTTGTCACTGGACTTAAGGAGTCTAAACTTGGGACCATCTTGGAAATCTGAGGTGCTCCGGAAGCCTGAGCAACCTCTGCCTTTCCAAGACCAGTGCTTGCTTCATGGCTCTCAGGCAGGGGCAGCTCCTTCAACCCTTTTAAAGCAGGGCTGCTTCTGTCAACCACACAAGTGTTTTCTCCAGGACCATGSAAAGGTCCCGTGCCCAGGGGGCCACCACGGCTCTGCTCTTTTAGAAGTGGCAGCTGTAAGGATTCTGGCTTGCTGTTACTGTGGGCCGGAGGAAGAACCTTCTCCAGGGACAAGTTACCCTGCAGCAACTGCAACACAAGTGGGTTGGTGGCCTCCACTGAGGACCCAGGCCTAGCCAGGCACAGGGGTCTTGGCTGGTATTCAGTACTGGACAGCAGCAAGGAGTCTGGGATCTTCTGGGGAACCGCACACACTCGAGACACCCAGCTCTGAGAAACCATCCCCTCTGTCCTTGTAACCAGAGTCAGATCACTGTTCACCTTGGATAGGAAAGTGGATTGCTTCCAATCATGTTTCTCATCCTTGTCCACCGAGGACCCCTTTGTCACTGTGGCTTCGCTAATGTCAGCCTCACTGCTATCCTCAGTGAGGTGGCCTTCAAAGTCAGAGGCTGTATCTGTGGATTCGCTGTGAGGACTCAGTGCTTCAGAGTCTCCATTGATTTGCAGCTTCTCAATGTCCACATGTTTGCCATCGCTGCCAGAGCCACCCATGCCGTGAGGTAGCACTGTGCAGAGTGAAGAAGCAAGGCTGTCAGGGGCTGCCACATCCTTTTCGGCTGCCAATCCCCCAGGAGATGTGGCAACAAGGGTAGCAGTGCTCTCCCAGTCTTCTCTGACCTGAGGCTCCATAGGTGGAACACTTTCTCTGGATCCTGGCTCAGAATGTTTCACCACCTCATCGTTTAACAGGATGGATGTCCAAGCAGCAGCACTGTCAGACATGAGTGCCTCAGTTTTCAGGGCTTTCTGTCTACCATCACTTTCCCTCACAGGTGGGCCTGAGTCACCAAGTCTTAATTCATCATCAAATGGTCTTTCCTGCAGGTGGCCAGCCAGTGATGATTCAGGTGTGGAACTGGGGGTCACATTTTCCGGATCCTTCAGAGTAGGATTACTGTCAAGAGCCGGGCCAGCTCCTTCTTCCAATACAACAGCTCCTAATGGAGACTGTACAGGACTGTTCACTGGAGGAACACTGGATCCTTGCTCCTCACTCCCCCTTTCCCTGGAAGTAGTGCCAGATTCACACTCAGTTCTACCATCTAGCTGCAAGGTAGGCTGCTCTGCCAACTTCCCAGCCACTGGGGTTTGAGAGGACAGTGGGGGCAAAGCCTGGCATGGCTGATCCCCAGTGGGAGCAACTGAGGGCTGAGAAGCATCTTCTAGCCCCCGTGTGAGTACACCTGGCACCCTCTGCAGTGGGCAGCTTTCTTCCTTTCTGAGAGAAGTCAGGTCTTCTCTCCTGGCTCTGGACATGGCAGCTCCTGCCTGGGAATGCTCCCCATTCAGAGGACAAGGCGGCAATAGTTGTGTTCGCTGTAGATCTGACGTACACTCTCCAGGGGTGCTCGGGGCTCCCCTGGGCTCAAGGTGGCCACAGGCCTCACTACCATCACCACTGCTGCTGCTTCTGCCACCTCCCTCATCGGTGGCCCCGCCGCCACCTCCACCCGGGCCACCCCCACCTCCGATGGCAGTGGTGGCCGCCTCTCGATGGCAGTGGTGACCTCTCGCCCCTCGGGCCTGCAGAGCACGGGCTTTAATGTCTGCGAGGGTCCTGGCACCAGTCCAGCCCCGGTAGGAAGACTCTGTGATGGGGACGATCCGGGGACATATCTGGTAAGTGGGCTGACCTTTAACCACCCAGGGTGGTTTGATACGTGAAAGTTGAATCTGAAAGAAAAGCAAAGGGAAAGAGTTTTAACTGGATGATCTAATCTAGAACTACCAGTCTTCTCTGTCCTGGGGCTCCAATACTAGGAGCAATACTGGGAGACTAGTAGTTCAGAGGTCCTGACCTAGAGAACTGAATCACTGTCCTAAAAAAGAAAATGATTATTGTAAACTGCCTGCCCATGGTACCCCTTCATTCCAAGATTCTGCTGAAAGGCTATGCCACACCTCCAAATTGAATTTCTGGTGAGACTTTATGAGCCGCTGGAGCAAAGAGCCTAATGCTATCTAATACAAGATGAAAAACCCCAAAGGATTTGGATTCTTCAACAGGGTAAATAGAAAAGTGAGGAAGAAAAGAACTGCCTCCCCCCATCCCACCCCACCCTCATGTCAGTCTCAAGAAAAGCTCTCCTATAGGAGGCTCTGAGTTCCCACATAATTCAGGCCAGGGCCCAGGGCCTCTGTCCCTTCAAAGGGGGCTCCACAACCTCATGACCCTCCAAGGAAATCAGGCACTAGGGCCACCAGGAATCAAACAGTCTCCTACCCGGATGGGCGGGACTTTGGGCTCCTCTTTAGTGGGCTGTGGCTTTTCGGTGTGAACACTTTCAATTGTGTTACGAAAGGACTGACGATCTTCAAGCCGGGGCTTCTTTTCGGGAAAGGACGCAGAGGCTGCCTGCTCAAAGGACTTCCTCTTCTGATCCTTGGGCTCCTGATCCGCAGTGTCCTGAGACAAGCTGGGAATTCTATCTGGAGATGCAGAGGCACGTACCAAGTTGTCTGGCTCGGTCTGGATTCGGGAAGCCACAGGTTCGCCTGGACACTCAGGACCCTCTGGGCCAGGTGCTGCAGAGGACATGCCCGGCAGCAGGGGACTGCTCACCCCTGCTGAGTCGGTCTTAGCCTCCCTGTCCTTGGAGAGAGGGACGTCAGGTGCCACAGAGTTTGCATCCTTAGCAACATCTGCTTGTTCCTGCTCCTGTTTTTTGTACAGATTCCTTCTGGCTCGGGTTCGGAGATCTGGTCGAGAGCGTTTCTTAAAATGCCCATCCCGCTGTCGGGTGGCTGGACCACGCTGTGGCCGCACCGATTCTCTTGGGACACGCAAACCACTCTTGATGTTGGCCTCCTCCTGGTCCACGTTCTGCTGTAATGACTCTTCTTTGGTCAAACCCAATCTGCAAAACAAACTCACACCATCAGTTATAGGCCAGAGAGGACACGTGTCTTTTCTCTGCACAACAGGCACTTAGATACATAAACTAACTAAATCTACATGGTACATAACGCTAGACCACAGAAAAACACACATTCTGCTTCACTGTGAATGGCATTAAGCTAAATGACTCGAGTCACTGCAATCTCCAAATTCTTGTCCAGGACAGATGTTCAAGTCTTGTGTATAAAATGGCATAGTATTTGCACAAAACCCACACACATCTTCTCATATGCTTTATTTTGTGTGTGTGTGKGKGGGGGGGTTGCTGGAAATCGAACCCAGAGCCCGTGTATGCTGGACACGTGCTAGATAGGTGCTCCACCACTGAGCTTCCCCTCACCCTCCACCTGTGCACTTTAAATCATCTCCAGATCACTTACACCCCTACCTCGACAATAACGACTGTGTAAATAATGTCTTGTTTAAGGAATAATGACAAGGAAAAATGTCTATACAGATGCAACTGTTTTACCCCGATATTTTCGAGCTATGGTTGGTTGAATGTGAAAGGAGAACCAATGGATTCAAAGGGCTGGCTGTACTTAGTCAGCAATCCTATCACCAAGGGCCTTACTTCTGTCCGTAATAGTCTTCAAAGAACTTTTCTTTCCATTGTTCCACTTTCTTTTCCTTCTCCATTTCCTGTCGTATTCTGACTTGCATCTCATGAGTAAATTCACCTAGAGAGAAAGATTTTTCTAATGAGTACATTCAGAATATTGATGTCTGGCTTACGGCTAAAACTTCTTTAAAATCAGGAGTTTTAAAAAGGACATGTAGCCAGGTGTGGTGGTGCACACCTATAATCCCAGCAGGTTGGGAGGCTGAGGCACGAAGATCACAAGTTCAAGGCCAGCCTCAGCAACTTAGTGAGATCCTGCCCATAAATAAATAAATACATACATAGGGCTGGGGATGTAGCTCAGGGTTCAATCCCCAGTATCCTCTCTCCCCAAAAAGAAATGCTCCTGTCTCCTCCAGTGGCTCTCTCATATTATGTTTTTATACAAAATTAATATAGCAGACTGCCTGCTTATCCTTAGAAAGGGTTCCTGACAATGATGGTCCTCGGCTGACAGGTGAGAGCTTGGGTTTCAAGAGTTCCCATCACCTAGTGAACTATTCACTGTGCCTAAACTGTTGATGCCAACAATATGGTTTATGCTGAACACCCCTCTTTCCTTTCAAGAATCTAGGTATGTGGCCAGCAGTGGCTTCCTTCACAATCAGCCCCAAATAAAAATCCTGGACACCAAAGATTTAATTTGCTTCCCTGGTAAATACTTCACAGGTGTTGGCACAACCTCTCATTGAATTCTGCCTAACTCCACAGAGAGGACCTCAGACCTTGCACCTTGCTTCCCATGCACTTCACCCCATGTGCCTTCTTCCCTTTGCTAATTCTGCTTTGCACTCTTTTTGCGTAAATAAATCATAACCCTGAATATAACCATATATACAGTCCTGCCAGAAGTCATTAAACCTAGGGGTGGCTTAGGGTCCCCAACACATTCCCCAGTTAGCTTGTTTTTAATTTTGTGCGGAAGCTACCATTTACTCCAAATAACTACTATCCCTGAAAAAGGAGCATGGTGTGCCTCATCAGGGTGCACTTTATTCTATCCATCTAGATAATGCCATGATTACTGGAAGGAACAGGCATGAAGAACATTAAAATGATGAAAAGAAGATACAGATGGATATATATACACAAGACAGTTGAGGCCAAATATCCTGTTGCTTTTTCAGAGCAGCGTGGCACATTAATGTCCATTACACATATTAATACTAGAGAATCAAGTCTGCCTTCAACTGAACATCTTGAGGAAAAAAAAGAGACTGGTAGAAATGAGTTCTGGGGCTTACATATCAGGAGACATGCACCACCGCACATGGCAGGCACACCTCCAACCCTGAGACGAAGCCGACTGACTTACCATCAGCCAGGCGATCCCGCCAGCTCTGAGCCGCGTGAGTGAAAAACTCATTATTGAGAGCGCTGCTGCTGAGGCGCAACAGGCCATCTGTCCCCACCTAGGAGGAGAAAATAATAAATGAGGAAACTTGAAAGAGAACAGGATCCCCAACCCCCTACACAGGTCAAGAGGAGGCTGCACATTTGCACCTGTCTGTCCACTTCGGGCAGGAGGAAGAGGAGCTGCTGCTGGAAGTGTGATGGCAGGGCGTGGAAGGTCCGAGAATTTATCAGGGCTCGGAGGTTGGTGTTGACAAGAATGGACCCAGGAGTCTCAAAATCTATCTCTTCCCCTCTGTTGCGCTTCATTTGACCTGTGATTTTTGATGCAAGAAGAAGCAAGTACAGATTTTCAGCTTCTGAAAGCCAAAAAAGCAAATAAAGCAAATGGCAACTCATGAAAAAACTTTGGTGGTAGCACCCAAGCTACCCAGAACTTTGTTCTGTACACAACCTGCTCAATCACCCAGTCCATCCTAACCTGTATGTTACAACTGTTCTTCCCAGGTTACTGTCGTTGCCATCGACCCTAAGAGAACACTGGGACTTGACTCCTCTCAGACAATACTCTGTACCGTGCTGTATCACAACCCGAAGAGGACACTCTTCCCACGGAAAACCAGGCGGGGGCAGGCTCTGAGCATCCCTCCGGGCTGCAGAACAGGCTCCACAGAGCCCAACTGGAGAAAGGATGGAAGTTGTCTAAAAGCAAATCTAGTTAGTGTACTACAGAAAAACCTGCAGAAGCTTCCTGTGAATGAGGTATAATCTCCAGGCAATTACGTACCAAGGGTTGGTTGTTCAATGCCAACTGAAATAAATGTCAGTTAATTCTCAAAGCCTAAGCAAATGCTACTTATATGAGGGGAGTGGGGAGTGGCACTGCAAATAGAGACCTGTGAGACCACAGATTGAGCATTGCTAAATGGCTGGAAAAGCAGTAAGACAACAAACAAACCTCGTTTCTATGTGGGCAATGGTTTATTCTAATTTTCCAAACCCAAGGTTAGTCTTCTTAATGATTTCATGTGGCCCATCTACAAAACCCCTAGCACGTGGGTCTTAATAAATAAATCCTGAGATAGCAAACAGTTTACTAGCACTGAGGACGGCCCGACTCAGGGTGAGAGGTGCACAACACAGCACTGCTGAATTTGTGTGCATCCCCAAAATTCAACACATGCTTCTACTCGACACACTAACTGGGTTATAAAAAAGCAGAGTCTGATAGAAACTACAGATGATGAAATCAAGTGTGGCAGGATGCTACAGAGAAAAGAAAACAGGCATGGGAATCCTCCTCTGAGAAGCTCAAAAACAATTTTCACTCACTCAAAACATTTATGAAGAAGTACCACGGCAGGCACAGGCCAGGCCCTACAGGGACAAACAAGGAGCAATGTGGCACCATCTATGCCCACAAGGAGTTCACTCAATCTAGCAGAGATCCATACGTGAAGTAACAAAATACAAGGTAAAAACAAACAAAACAGAGGGCCACCCAAGAAGTAAAAATAAACTGGAAAAGGAACTGGAGCAGAAGACACTGTCTTCTTATTAGGCCTGTAGGGCCCCTTTACAGGCAGAGAAATGAGTGCCAAGCCACTCACCTGTGGCCGGCTTCCGGAAGCCTCTCAGGAGCGGGGCAGGGTCCCGGGCGACCTCGGCCTGGCCACGAATAGCAGCGCTGCCCAGGGCCAGAGAGCCGCTGCTGCTGCTGGACGGGCTGCCACTCTCGCCATCAGCGTGGCGGCCCGAGAACCCTGAAGGCACAGCATTCCACTGGTCAAAAGCATCACACGCCGAGCCCGTGACTCTCAGACAAGCTTACTTCTCCCAGTTCTCCCTGACATGCTGCCAGAAATACTGGGGTGCTTCCATCTCCCAGCCCTGGGCCGACAATCACCACCTCATGGTCTGGCTTTAAAATATCACCTTAAAAATGCCAAACCACAAACTTCATTTGTACAGCACTACACCTTTTCAAAGCACTGGCACAATCCTTCACTGGATGCTCACGACTGCCCTGGGAGGCAAAGAAGAGGGTACACGGCAGAGCCTAGCACCAGGACCTGTGGCAGGCCACACCACACAGCATGCTGCCTTCCAGAGAGAATGGGTCTCCCAGTTCTTGCTCAACAGCTCTACTGGCATCACAATGCTAGGTCAGAGACTGCTGACACAGGGAGGCCAGGTCCCCAGGACCTGAAGAAAAAGCACCGCAGTCACAAATCTACACATACCTGATGCAGATTCCACGTGGGCCCCGTTTACCTTCAGAGGAGTCAGCACAACTCGAGGGAGCATCACCCCAGTCTTTTTCTTTTGTTTGTTTGCCTGTATTCCCAGGGGATAAAAACAGAGCCTGAGTCATCTGCAGTACCCCCCTTGACCCTATCCTACCCACTCTCTTGTAAATACGGAGCGAGATCTGCCAGGCAATGCCGACAACAGCACTGATGAACATTACTGAGCTGTGTGTGGGCCACTGTGCCAAGCACCACCCTAAACTGAAAAGAATGTATGGTTATCCCCATTTTACAGATAAGGAAYCTGTCCACAGATGATAACTGGCAAAGTTGTCATTCAAATAGCCAAATCCCAAGCTCATGTTCTCAGTACTCAGCACTGTACTATACTCCGCCCTGGAAGTTCACATGTACATTACAAAAAGGAAAAGAATTACCCAGGTATGTAAATAGAAAAGGGCAGGGGGAATCACTCTGCTCTCAAACCCCAAACCCCACTTCTGGCAAGCGTATGAGAAAATAATACAAATACTATTGGTGAAGATGAAAATAGTATCAAAATGTTCATAACACTGCCAGTGGAAGAATAAACCAGCAAATAATAATAATCTAAAGCTCAGTTTTCCTGTGGCCCACTTTTAAGTGATACTAAAAGGTGAAAACCATATTTAATTTTTTTCACTCTTTAAACATGTTCACAGATAGCTACAGGAGGAATAAGAATGCCAACTATGCCTGAATTCATTCATCCTCCTGGCCTGGTCACCAACTCTCCTCCCTACCTGTGAGGAAGCTCTGTAGCTGTCCCTGGGATTGGGAAGGGGCCGACTCTGAAATTCTGTAGAACAGGATGCATTTGAAGATGTTTCATCCAGAGATACTGGCAGAGTAGAAAATAAAGGTTAGTTCCTAGATGCTCCTTGGGGCTGTCCCCCCATCTCACTGGCACTTACCATCGTTTTCACCACTCACAGTGCTGGCTTCATTAGATTCACAGCTCTCCACATCGGCCGAGTCCTCTGGCTCCTCTCCTTCCACTGCAGCTGGATTTCGAGACCATTGCAGGGCATCCTTCTGTGATAGCAAGTTATAACTCAGGTGAACAAAACTCTACAAATTCTACTACAAGTTCAGTAGTCATTCCTAAATTTGTATGCTTTTGGAGAAGAGGAATTTGATTGCTGCTTCTTTTTTGAGTGTTTATCCAAAGGCTGATATATGTTAGTCCAAGTGCTCTGCCACTGAGCTTTAACCACAGCCCAGACAACTTAGAATATTGGTAAGTTCCTATCCCTTTCAAACTGAGCTTTTTCTCAGCAAAGTCGTTTTATTAAAAAAACATTAAAATTAGAGATACTGCTGGGCATGGTAGTGCACACCTGTGATCCTGTCAATTTGGGAGACTAAGGCAGGAGATCTCAAATACAAAGCAAGCCTCAGCAACTTTGCAAGACCCTGTCTCAAAATTAAAAAAATAAAAGGGGCTGGGGGTGTGGTTCAGTGGTTTAAAAAAGTCTCTGGGTTTAATTCCTGGTACCCTCTTCCCCAAAAAGTTAGATATACTTTTGTATTCAATCATTCATTATACAGCATTACAAATCAACATTTATGGAGCATCTCCTATAAGCTACACCATGTTAGTTCCTAGGGTGGGGTGGGAATCAGGCCCCCATCTTCAAGGAGTTCATGTGAGTAGAGAGAAAAGAATATGGATTATAATATAAAGGGCAACAATAGAGGTATATACATAAAGCTGAGGCATCCCAGAAGAGGGAGTGCCTAACTTAGTGAATTACAAGAAAGGGAACATGGGAGCGCAGAGCATGAGTAAAGATCAGAGAGGCAAGGCTTCCAAGGGAATGTGATGCTTGAGCTAATTTTTTTTTAATTGATTGTAGATGGGACAGCATTTAWTTATTTATTTATTTATTTATTTTTATGTTGCGCTGAGGATCGAACCCAGTGCCTCACATGTGCTAGGCAAGCGCTCTATCATTGAGCTACAGCCCCAGCCAGTTGAGCTAAGTTTTAAAAGAAGTTTGCTACTAGGGAAATAGGTTGGCCATGGGTAAACCCAAATATTTTTTGAAAACAAAATCTGAACTCAGGAAACTAAATGTAGGGGTATAGGGAAATGGATAGGCATATGGCTAGAAAAGACAGCAAGAGGGCAGATGATTATACAATGTGTGAAGAGACTGAGACTTGGATTATTTTGGAGGTTCCAAAGGATACAGACTTAGAGAATGATTTTTAGAAATTTTCGTTTTTATCTCTATCTACCGGGAAGGACGCTGGTGTGGAGGACAGTAACTGCCATGGCTTCCGGCACTTTGGCGAAACCTCAGATGCGGGGTCTTCTGGCCAAGCGTCTGCGGTTTCATATTGTTGGAGCATTCACGGTTGCCCTGGGGGTTGCAGCTCTCTATAAGTTTGGTGTGGCTGAACCAAGAAAGAAGGCATATGCAGATTTCTACAGAAATTATGATTCCATGAAAGATTTTGAGGAGATGAGGCGGGCTGGAATCTTCCAGAGTGTAAAGTAATTTTGGAATATAAAGAATTTCTTTGGATTGAGGTCCTTAGAAGTTTGTACTGACTTGTGCTCCTGAACTATTAAACATGAATATGTGGGCTAAGAAATAGTTTTTCTTGGTAAATAAACAATTAACAAATACTGTAAAAAAAAAAAAAAAATTTCATTTTAGAAGCCTGAAGGTAAGAAGAGAAGCTATTTTTCCTAGGAAAATATTTTTCTGTTTTCATAATGACAGTGAAGCTATTTTTGCTAAGACATGAAAACTGTCACCGTTCACTGTAACAGTGAAAACACAAGAGATCTACCCTATGTTTCACCTTCTCCAAAGTTTCCTTGAATGGTCTCAGAAGTGAACTCCACCTAAGGACTTGCCTAAGGAAAACTCAGAAAGTGCATCACACCTCAAACCTAGGAAGAAGGCTGGGGACACAGCTTAGTGGCAGAGTGCTTGCCTAGCATATATGAGGCCTGGGTTTGATTCCAAGCATTGAAAAATCAATCCATCAATCCAGTAAGGAGTATGAACAAATACTAGGAGCTAGAGAGCAGAGATAAGGTGAAACAAGAGGAGAGTATGGTCACTAAATAAGAGTATGTATAAAAGAGTAGACAAAATCATGATTCTATATCTTTAATATACCATAAATTTAAAAGGGGAACTCATAACAATCTAACATCAATTTCATGGGTCCCTTGAATCATTAAAGTTTCCATCAACCTAGTTTTGTTAATTATAAGCTAAAATCATGCTGTCTTAAGTTAATAAAAAGAAAGCAGCTTTTTTAGATTTTTATCTCTTTTTCCTTACTGGCCATAAATGCTCCTCAGAATTAAAAGCTAAGGAAAATTTTTAGTATGAATCTTACAATTACGTTGCTGACTGGCATGTTCCTTGGAATGACAAAAAAAATTAATCTCTCAGGTAAATAAAGATAAAATACTCGTCAATGAATAAAACAGGTCTATTACACTGGCAAACTTGACCCCAAGACTGGCAAACAAATCATACAAATACTATTGGTAAAGATGGAAATAGTAAATGTATCAAAATATTCATAACACTGCCAATGGAAGAATAAACCAGCAAAAAAATCTCAAGAGCATAATGGTTGAACACCCTATCCAAAAAGCTTGGGACCATTAATACTTTGGATTTAGCAATTTTTAAAAATTTGAAATATTTGCATACAATAATGTTAATGGTTGGATCTAGTACCCAAGTCTAACCATGAAATTCATCTGTTTTAGGGGCTGGGGTTGTGGCTCAGCAGTAGAGTGCTCACCTAGCATGTGCGAGGCCCTGGGTTTGATCCTCAGCACCACATAAAAATAAATAAAATAAAGGTATTGTGTCCAAATACAAGTAAAGAAAAGAAATTCATCTGTTTTACATACAAGTTATACACATAGAGTGAAGTGATTCAAACAATACCTTTAGTGTTACTGCACTTTAACTACAACCCATCACTTAAGCTCAGGTATAGAATTTTCCAGTTTTAGATTAGGAATACTCAACCTATGTATTTTTTAACCCAATAACATCATTTTTAAGACATAAAAAAACTATTAAAAATTTATAATTTAACTATATTAAAATTAAGACCCTATACTCATCAAAATATAGTGTTAGTGTACACAAGGTCAAGTTACCTGCAGAGATGGAGCATATACTTCTAACTCACATAACCAATAAGAACCTATATCTAGATAACTTAAGTCAGAAGAAGGCAACCCAGAAGAAAAACAAAAGATGTGAATTAGGCACTACATAAAAGAGCATAATCTAAATGGCCAAAAGACACATACACAGAAAGATATTTAACCCCACTAACAATAAGGAAAACATGAAATCATGCAAATTGAAACCACAATGAGGGCTAGAGATGTAGCCAAGTAGCAAGTGCTAATGAGGATATGGAACTTGTTACTGAAAACTGAGCCAATCACTTGAGAATATACTGTGACAACTCAAAGATAAAAACCTCCTGTAATTCAGCAATGTTACTCCTACGTATGGATTCCCTAGAAAAATCTATGYGTATGCACAACCAGGATGTTCACAGTAGCATCATTTTTAACTTGGACAGTTAACAACCAAAGTAGGCATCGATAGTAGCATCAGTAAATAATAGTGCATTCATTAAATGATGATATAGTAATTTTTTAAAAAATGAACGAACTGTAGCTACCCACAACAACATGGATGGGTCTTAATAGAATACTGAAAGAAGCCAGCAGAAAAGAATGCATACTACAATGAGTCCATTTGTTTWAAAAAAAAAAAAAGGATCCCCCCCCCCAACAGGCAAAACTACTAGTGTTAGTGATATAGACACAGGTAGTAAACAAAAAAGAAAGAACTTCCATAAAGTCAGGACAGTAATTACCTGTGTATGTGTTGGTGGGAGCAGGGGTGCCCAAAAGAGGGCTCCTAGCTGTTTCCATGTATTTTATCTTGACCCAAGTGGCAGTTGCAAGGGTGTTCATTTTACTATAATTCATTAAGTTTACTCTTGTGTCCTATATGTTTTATCATATTATATTTATATAATAAAAAGTCTGAAATCAAAAGATAAAGTATTTTCATTTAAAATAAGCTGTAGAATATTTAGTGACAGGAGAAATGTTCATGATATAACAAGTGAATCAAGCAGTTAAATTCCTATAGTATGAATCCATCATTTTTTAAACGACATTTGCATGAATGTGTTGGTTTAGAGAAAAGACCCGAGAAATAGTGGAAGAGTTGATCAGCATGATCTTTAGGTGACGGAGTTGTAAGTGGCTTAGTTCCTTTTTAATTTGGGATATATTCTATAATTGACAAGTATAAAGTATAATCAAGAAAATAACATTTTGCTGGGCATAGTGGTGTGCTGACAATCCCAGAAGTCCAGGAGATGGAAAAGATGCAAGAGCAAAACAGTACAAAGAACATTCACCTTCAATGTTTTCATATTCACCTATTATTAACTAATAATAGTAAATACATTAGTAAAAAAAAAACTATAATAATAAATAAACCTAAAAAAATTCATAACTTGAACATTTTAAAACAAAAGGCACTTTGAACAAAAAGTGATAAAGTTTAAACTGCCCAAGATTTGATTCTCACCTAAAAATATAAACAAAATCTTGGGTATGCTTGTCCTTTCTTCATGGGTCTGGGCAAAAAAACAGGGACTGTCTCTAAGAAGACTGATCAATGCAAATTATTAAAAATTGAGAACATACCAATTGTTCCTAGCCAGCTAGAGTTCCTAACCAAAGCATACAAAAAGAAGAAAAATTTATAAAGTCAAGAGTGTCTTAATTTCCAATAGCATAATTTATCTAGACTGAATACTCAAGAAATTCAGATCTACTAAGAGAATTCAATCAGGTTGTTAGATTCAAGACCACAGTTAAAAACTGAGTGATCCTAACATTAACAATAATATCACCAACAAGAAAATTTAACAAAGAATATAAATTATCAGAAATAAATTCCACAAAAAAATAACAATCATTTAATGAAGAAAAATTTAAAAGCTTTGTGAAAGCTTTAAAACCTAAATAAATGGAGAGCTACACCATTTTTTATGTGTGTTGAATCAAACTCTTAATATGATTCAACACTTAAAGATATCAACTTTCTCCCTAAAGTTGTTTACTGACTGAATGCAATTCCAATAAAAGTCTATTTTTTGTAGAACTTGAGTTTACATGGAAAAGCAAAAGGCCCCCAGCAGTCAAGATATTCTTGAAGAACAAGATGAGAGGATATGCTTTTTAAAAGGTCTTGTAATTAGATGAATAGATTGGTGGTTGCTAGGTATGATTCTGCTTAAGAGTATGGGGTTTCTTTTTGGGGTGATGCAAATGTTCTGGAATTAGATCAATGATGACTGCATAACTTTATGAATATACTAAAAGCCACTGAACAGTATATTTTAAAAGGACAAACCATATGGTCTGTGAATTGTATCCCAATAAAACTGGGTAAAAATGGCTTATTAAATTTAACTGATAGTTTTAAAACATGAATGAATTTAATGAAAATTTACACACACACACTCTTGATATGTACAGAAAATTTAAAGATCTAAAGTCCAAATTCAGCTTCAGAAAACTGAAGATAAAGTTAATGTTGTTTTAATCCTGTTATGTAAATCCTAAGGAAGAATTAAAACTAGTAAAGCAACCTCCATATATAATGGAGAAACAGCTTCACCATGCTTTAAAAATGCTTAATATAAAATAAAGTTCCACTGAATTTGAAACCCATTTGCATTCTCACAAGCCATTTCAACATCACAGCTGTCTAAGAAAAGAAAGAGCTATTATTTAAAAATGAATACACTTTTAGAATATAGTTTAAAGAGAAGAAATTGTCGGAGTACTCATTAATGACAAGAAAATAGTTTTATCAATAAGGAAAAACAACAAATTCTCATCTGGGATTTGCCATCCACATCTGCAAGCAAACTTTCTAACTGATGGTGACCACACGCCCATAATCCTTCCTCTGATACCCTTGAGGGTCTAGTTATTTTAGAATTCAGTTTCTTGAATTTTAGAATGCTAATATAGTATACACATATTAATGTCACCAACAACCCATAATCAAACACATTAACATTTTTAAATAAAATTTATACACATATCAAGAAAAATAGGCTAAAAGTAGCCTCGTCAATATATACAGGTTTGCCACCCACCAAATGAGTTAAGTCAGCTTTTATTGCCAAATGAGTTATAAAGAAAAACTTTCAGTTTCAAAATATTTTGGATTTTAGAGAATTGTTTGGGCCTGCATCACGAGTTTAAAGAAACCAATCATTTAAAAAGCTGAAAAAACTGCACATACACATTTCAAGTTAAAAAAAAAAAAAAGATAGGATCCTAAGAAAGTCCATGTTTTATTCAATAAAAATTTTTAAAGGATCTGAAGGTTTTATAATTCCACTTTTCTCATAGTGATAATGTAAAGAAAATTCAATGAAATATTTTCAACAAACCCCAAAGAGAGCTTGCAAACCACTTCCATTTTTCCCAAGCATGCCACAATAGGAAAAGGTAAAAAAAAATATTTCACTGGAGAAATTCTCACACATTGGCACAAGAAGACTATAAGTAAAATGATGAC